GGTTTAAATGGAGAGAAAATGTTTTGAGAAACGATGTACAAATGCGCTTTACACAATTGATGTGTATATGGATTGGGATAACAGTTGTATGAACCCCTAATAAAATGTTAAAAAAGAGAAAAGAAAAAAAAAGAAAGTACATATAAAGCAACCAAAAATAAATAAATAAATAAATAAAAAGAAAAAAAAAATGCGGTTCTCTCTTCCCCCGCCCCCCATCCTTCCTCACTCTCTCCTGCCCTCCATAAATTATTACCCCTCCCCTCTCTGCCCTGGCCCCAGTCCCTGGCCTCCTAGTTATCAACGTCTTATCTTATGATGTAAAAATTACTTTTCTTTTTCCTTATACTAATAGTGTCCAAAAAATTAAAAAGTAATAGTGTCATTAAATATTTCTCTTTGTAAGACTGACTTTGCTAAGCATAATGTTCTCTAGTTTTATCCATATCTTGCAGGCTTGAGAGAGTCATCATTACTTAAATTAATGTATAATATTCACTGTATACATATGCCGGTTTGTTTACCCAGTCCTCTATAGTTGGGGTTTGGGGTTGTTTCCATCTTCTTGCTTTTGTGGAAATTGCTGCAGTAACCACAGGTGTGCACATGGCTGTTCATATAGTATTCTTTATCTTTTTAGGGTACATACCTGGTAGAAGGATTGTGGGATCATAAGGTCCTTTTTTTTTGCAGTTGGAAAAGAAGTGTCACACTGATTTCCATTATCCCACCAGTAATGGATGAGGGTCCCAATCCCACTACATCCTCCCCAGCATATATAATTTTCTGTTGGTGTGAGGTGGTATCTCATTTTTGTTTTAATTTGTATTTCTCTTATTGCTACTAGACTCAACCATTTCTTCAGGTGGTTGTTGACTGCCGAAGTCAGCTTTAATAAATTGTTGGGAAAATCTAGCCTCACTTGGAAACGATGGAAACCACCCCATCTAAACACAAATGCTTCATGGAAATCACCATCACGTGCTATACACAATACTCCAGAGTCACTGAGAAGGCTCCAAGCCTTTCTAAAGTAAGGCTGGTACCCTGTGGGAGAGTGGGAGGTGTGGGGAAAGGAAGTGGTGTT